ACAGCTGATATTATATAGATTTGTGCATTTATTTGCTAGATGGCTTCTTCTGAGAGTAGGACCCAGGCCTGCAGGTAAGAGTCACACAGGGTCCCCAGCCCTAGCACAGCATCTGGCTCCAAACAGTTCCTTATTATCTGTGGAAGGAACACATGGATGACTAAAAATCAGATTTATGTCTTCAATTTACCAGCAGTGGGTGAGAAGTGAGGGAACCTCCTCCATCAGAGACCTCCTTCCTGACCCTTGTGGTTCCTGTTGTCCCCTCTTCTTGGGCTGCCTTGAATTAAGGACCTAGTTCAGATGCAGAGTATAAACTCAGGGCTGTGTAGCTACTGAATATGACAGTTAATTTTGCACAGATCTAGATCACTAACAGTTCCCCTTCTAGAAAGTTCTTCCCAAGCATAATTTATATATAGTGGGCAACACAGAGTTTAGAAAAAAAATTGTTCAGTTCTGGTCCCATCTGGCAGAATATTGCTTTACAAAATACTGCTGAACTCTGATTCCAAGCCTAGCAAGTTTTCAGCCATTGGGAGTAAGTTTTGAAAAAAATAAACAGGAAAAGAGAACAGACAGAGGGTGTCTTTGACTCTCCCAAATGAAGACAGGTTCCAAATGGACCTGGAAGAAAAAGCTTTTCCCAACCAAAACCCAAAGCTTTCAGGAGAGGATTCAGCCATGCCTAGGACGTTGACTGGAGGAACCCATGACACAGTCATCCAGTGTACCCAAAGTTATCCATTAAATCATCTTCCTTGGTGTGGTCTTAGTGATGTAGTTATGCAGTGGAGCCAATAATGACCATGAAGTCACACTCCTTAGTGTGGCCCTGGGCTGGTATGGCTATAACAGCCAGGAGGGGAGAGGAAGCGGTCTACTGAAGAGAAGGATATTGCCAGCAAAACAAATTACTGCTCCTAAAATTGTCCATCCTAGCTGCGTGGCAGAGTTCCTTAGGGAGCTTTTGATAATTAAGGATAGTCAAGGTCCCACTGCAGATCAATGGAATCCCATCTCTGCATATTGGAACCCATGCACTGGTACTCAGGAAAGCTTCCAGGTAATTCCAATGCCACGTATCTCGGGCTGAGGACCATGTCCCTACTCCCGGAGCCTTGTGAGTGGCATTTCTTACTTTCCACTTTCTGCCTCAGTGTTGGAAGGATAAGAGCTGGGGCCCCAGTGAGGAAGAACCTCACTGCTTCAAGACTGCTTCAGAGATTAAAGAAGAGAAAACTTTCCAAGTATGGTCTACAGAGATATCCCATCAGCATCACCTATGAACTTCTCAGAACTATAGATTCATGGGCCTTACCTCAGCACTTACATCAGAATCTGTTTCTTAGCAAGATCTCCAGTGATGCATATCCATAAGGAAGTTTGAAAAACACTGTTCTGGAAAATACCCCTTGTCCTTGAAAAATCTGGGTCATGTTCCAAGATTTTCCATACCTAGAAGACTAGGTCTTTCCACAGTATCTCTAGATCCCTTTGAGTCAGGCATTTGAGTCATCCTATTTCTGAATCACAGAATACTAAAGATGGACTGTACTACAAAAATGAATCAATTTAGGCCCTTCATTTAATAGATCAAAAAAATTGACATTCCAAGGTTAAATCTTGAGGAAGAGGACAATGCAGAACTTGCTTGGGAATTCATAATCTATATTTCAATTATACTATCAAATAATTTTAAATACTGACCCATGTGTGTTTGTGTGTTAGTCACTCAGTCACGTCTGACTCTGCAATCCCATGGACTGTGACCCACCAGGCTCCTAGCTCCATGGAATTCTCCAGGCAAGAATAGTGGAGTGGGTTGGCATTCCTTTCTGCAGGGGATCTTTCTGACCCAGGGGTCGAACCAGGGACTCCTGCATTGCAGGTGAATTCTTTATCACCTGAGCCACTAGGGAAGCCCCCAAACTCCCATTCTTGTCTCAATCTCCAGTTCACAATAACAGAACACCTTACACTCTTGAGTATATAATAGAGATCTTCAGTTGTGTGTGAAATGGTATGGACCTAATATAAGCAGAAGATATTAAGAAGAGGTGGCCAGAATACACAGAAGAACTATAAAAACTACATAAAAAAGATCTTCATGGCCCAGATAAACACAATGGTGTGATCACTTACCTAGAGCCAGACATTCTGGAATGCAAAGTCAAGTGGACCTTTGAAAGCATCACTACTAACAAAGCTATTGGAGGTGATAGAATTCCAGCTGAGCTATTTCAAATCCTAAAAGATGATGCTGTTAAAGTGCTGTACTCGATATGCCAGCAAATTTGGAAAACTCAGCAGTGGCCACAGGACTGGAAAAGGTCAGTTTCATTCCAATCCCAAAGAAAGGCAATGCTAAAGAATGCTCAAACTACCGCATAATTGCACTCATTTCACACACTAGCAAAGTAACAGTCAAAATTTCCAAGCAAGGCTTCAACAGTACGTGAACTGGGAACTTCCAGATGCTCAAGCTGGATTAGAAAAGGCAAAGGATGGATTGCCAACATCTGATGGATGATCAAAAAAGCAAGAGAGTTCCAGAAAAACATTTACTTCTGCTTTATGGACTACGCCAAAGCCTTTGACTGTGTGAATCACAACAAACTGTGGAAAATCCTTAAAGAGATGGGATACCAGACCACCTTAACTGCCTCCTGAGAAATCTGTATGCAGGTCAGGAAGCAATAGTTAGAACCAGATGTGGAACAATGGACTGGTTCCAAATTGGGAAAGGAGTTTGTCAAGGCTTATATTGTCACCTTGCTTATTTAACTTACTCTCCACTGGTGGCTCAGACCGTAAAGCGTCTGCCTGCAATGCAGGAGACCTGGGTTCAATCCCTGGGTCAGAAAGATCCCCTGGAGAAGGAAATGGCAACCCACTCCAGTACTCTTGCCTGGAAAATCCCATGGATGGAGGAGCCTGGTAGGCGATAGTCCATGGGGTCCCAAAGAGTCGGACACGACTGAGTGACTTCACTTTCTTTCTTTCTTTCTTTTTTTCTTTAACTTATATTCAGAGTACATCATGCAAAATGCTGGGCTGGATGAAGCACAAGCTGGAATCAAGATTGCCAGGAGAAATATCAGTAACCTCAAATATACAGACGACACCATCCCTATGCCAGAAAGCAAAGAACTAAAGAGCCTCTTGATGAAAGTGAAGAGGAGAGTGAAAATATTGGCTTAAAATTCAACATTCAAAAAACTTAAGATCATGGCATCCAGTCCTATCACCTCATGGCAAACAGATGGGGAAACAATGGAAACAGTGACAAACTTTATTTTCTTCAGCTCCAAAATCACTGTAGATGGTGACTGCAGCCATTAAATTAAAAGACGCTTGCTCCTTGGAAGAAAAGCTATGACCAACCTAGACAGCGTATTAAAAAGCAGACATTACTTTGCCAACAAAGGTTCATCTAGTGAAAGCTCTGGTTTTTCCAGTAGTCATGTATGGATGTGAGAGTTGCACTCCAAAGAAAGCTGAGCGCAGAAGAACTGATGCTTTTGAACTGTGGTTTTGGAGAAGACTCTTGAGAGTCCCTTGGACTGCAAGGAAAGCCAACCAGTCAATCCTAAAGGAAATCAGTCCTGAATATTCATTGGAAGGACTGACGTTGAAGCTGAAACTCCAATACTTTGACCACATGATGCTAAGAACTGACACAGTATAAAAGCCCCCGATGCTGGGAAAGATTGAAGGCAGGAGGAGAAAGGGATGACAGAGGATGAGATGGTTGGGTAGTATCACTGACTTAATGGACATGAGTTTGAGCAAGCTCCGTGAGTTGGTGATGGACAGGGAAGCTTGGCGTGCTGGAGTCCACAGGGTCGCAGAGACGGACACAAATGAGCGACTGAACTGAACTGAACTGAGTGTTGCGGAGCATATAATTAATGCTCCATGATGTTAAAAACCCTCAACACACCTTCAGGTGCTCTCACGCTGGGCTCACCCTGTTTGTGACAGTGGGACCACAGCTTAGGATGTCTGTGTGTGATCCCCAGTGTAACATGGCCACTCTACTTCTCTCTCAGATTGATTGAATCATACAAGGGAGTCCTATGCCCTTGGCTGAGAACTGCTCATGAAATAGTCACAAGGACTACATTTTCAGGTCTAGGTCACTCTAGAACTGTGGTCCTCCAATATACTCACCAGGGACACTAGTTAAGACACAGACTATTGGGTTTCCCTCATAGTCTGTTATTCAGCATCTGCGGGATGGGTCGACATTTCTTGCGGATCCTATGAGACACTGCCTTGGGGGACCACATTCTGAGAAGCACTGCCCTGGGGACCTCTCCCTCTTCACTGGGTCACATAAGGTTAGTCTAGAAGTTTCAGAACTTGTGTCTAAAACAAATTTGCATCTTCACAGGAGTGATGATGCCTGCCAGCTTTCAGAACCACCAGCTTTAAGGAGGCTCTCAGGTGCCCTCCTCAAGCGCATGGTCTGTCCCTGGCTTGGTGCATCAGAGGCTCAGGCTTCCTGCTCGGTCCCCTCACAGCCCCATCTCCCCCTCGCCCGCCTACTCTCTCTGACTCTCGCTCCTTCCTTTCTTTCCCTGTCACTCCTTCTCTGATCAGCGTCAAGGTGAGTCTTAAACCTCATTCTGCTGCACTCTCCTGAGAGACTCCATCACACCTTGTGGCCTGCTCGCCACAACGCGGTTCAGGTCTTCACCCCTTGAAACTCCCTGATGCTCCCACCTTCTTGTAAGGGACTTACTGCTGCACCTCCTAAAGCGGATACCCAAATCCTGTCCACTTGGACTTTACTTCCTGTCTTAACCCCAAGAGGATTCCATTTTCCGAAAGCCACCAATGTCTGAGTAAACTTTCTAAAGCCTGGCACCATTCATGTTCCACTTTTGGTGGATGGAATTGTTTTCAAACGTGGAATTGGAAAGGGAACGATTCCTGGTCAAAGAGCAGCTACCAGATCTGACTGAGACCAGCAGGGGGTCGGGGCGGCTTACCTTGGACGAACCACCGCATCTGAAATCCTTTCTCTTGGTGACCAACTCCATCCGTATAAAACAGCACATGAAACGTGGAGCCAGTGGTGCTCCCTGAAGGTGGAATGTCTGTTCCACAGAAGCGCTTCATCCGCTGTGGGCCATCATAGAGCTGAAATCGGAGAGAAAACAGAAGCCTGAAGAGCAAAGTCCACGCATGCAGCTAAAGCTGTTTCTTGGTTCAAAAGTTAAGGGTCAATCTACTGAGGTGGGCTGAGTCCAGGAATTAAAAATAGATAATTATATGCAGAGAAAGGTCCCTCCAAGGTATAATCCAGGCACAAAAGACAGAAATGCTGGCCTGGATGAGATGGGTTCACATATGAATCACACGTAAGAGATGCTAGATGAATAACAGTATTACAACTGTAAGTCTTAAAAATAAATACTAACCATAAACAATTAGACAGTTTAGAAAGTTCTGAAAGGAAAATAACAAAAATTAATCCCACTGAAAGTGAACCATTGTTAATATTTTGTTAGTACCAGAAGCTTCTCTTACCAACATTTTTTTCATCTGTTTGTATTTATACATGTACATCTATGTGCAAAGAAATGTGTGAATATGTGTGTATCAATTCGGGCTACACATTTAATAGTGTTCCCCGTTTTTCACTAAGGTTGTCACTAAATAGGCTATGTAAACATTTTTAACAGTGGCATAACATACCGCTAATATGCTGTATTTACATTACAATTCTGCTATTGTTCACTTAGTGCTACTTGCTCAGTCACGTCGGACTCTTTGCAACCTCGTGGACTTCAGCCTATCAGGCTAAATGGCAACCCACTCCAGTATTCTTGCCGGGCCCATGGGATTTCCCTGGCCAGAATACGGGAGTGGGTTGCCATTTTCTTCTCCAATCGTTCACTTAAGATATTTCCAATTTGAGGACAAATAAATATAAATCTTTGTTTGATAATTTAAATTTCTTTTAGGAAAGATTCCTCTAAAGGGAGTGAATCAAAAGAATAGGATATTTCATGGCTCTAGATATGTATTATTAAATTTCTCACCAGAAATTTTGCACAAATTTATTCTCCCACCAGAAGTTTATGGAAATATTTCTTGCAGTGCAACTTTGGCAATTTTGACTAAAATTATTATTAAAACTGGGGCTAACAGTGCAAATTTGTTTTCTGTTTGTAGTCGTCTGAATTTGTTACTTTGGGATTGGGACTTTTTTCATGATTCTTATGCATTTCTTTTTCTTCTTTTGGAACTTTTCTGCTGAGGTCTTTGCCCATTTTCCCACTGAGGTGTTTATATACTCTGTTGTGTACACTTTATCTGCTTAATTTCATTAGATACATCTCCAACTAAAAAAAAAAAAATCTTTCTGCCATCTCTCTCTCTTCAATAAGGAAAAAACAACGATAATCCACAAAGATTTGCTTCCTTAGGACTCAGAACATTGTATTTTCTTTTCATCCCCTAGTGTCCACATTAAATACTTTGTTCCACTTACCCTTAGGATGTGCTGCCTGTTATAATAAAACAGAAAATGTCTGATCACGGGCTTCCTTTATTCTTCCCTTGGAGAGTACACACATGTGCATGTATGTGTGAGTGTGTGTGTATGTTATTTGTATGTAAACATATCATCTGGATTCAACAAATTCCATACTGACAAAATTCTTTTTATTAGCTGAAATGTTATGATAGAAAATACCGTTTGAAACATATTGACCTAAGCATAGAAAACTTCATAATCAAATTCTACAAATCCCCTCCATGAAGCCTTCCCTAATCCCTGTAGACAGTCATAAATGAGCTTTCCTTTGAAATCCCTAAGCTTTTCATTTGTGCTTCTTTGTGGAAATCATCACATTCTGGTGATAGAGATGTGTGCCGGTCTCCCCTACTGATTTCAAGTTTCTGTAGACCCCAGACCACCTTTCAAATCCCCTCAAAGCCCAGCATAGGGCTTTGTCCAGGGCAGATTCCCGATATAGCTTCAGTGAAGAATTGCAACCACTTCCCCCACAATTGCACTCACTCACTCACTCACCCTTAGGTACAAACTTAAGCATTTTATACAAATGATAAAGATGGGGTTTATTTTTCAGTCTTATCCCTTCATCTTCCTTTTAATTTTTTAAATACTGCTGCTTTGAATATGTGTATTTATGATCAAGCTTCTAAGGTTGTAGATGATTGACAGAAGTCAAGAGAGGGGGTAAAAATGAGAGAAAGAAGAAAGCCACATAAAAAGAAGAGGAAACAAAAACAGCCCTTCACCTCCCATCTCGACCCCTCCATCCACTGCAAGAGGTGGAGGTAGGGGAGGAGTCTGTGTTGCAACCTGTTTACTCCTAAACTACTGCTTCACTGTAGGGTATTTATTTCAGCCACAGAGTTCTTTTATTAAACCTAGTGTATGAATTCCAATTCAAAACTAATTAATACAAAAATAAACATGCTGTTCCCAAGCCGAGGCATGATAAGCCAGAAAACACTCCACTGTTCTCCACTCCAAAAGGCTCATTTTGAACTTTCAGTGCTGTGACCAAAACTTTAACTACTTCATCTTTATCCAGCAAAACGAGGTAAGATTTCTCTAGGACCACAGTCGCCCTGAACTTCACGGGTCTTCTGAAACACTAGGTGACGTTGTTAGGAACCGTATTTGAGATTCTTCAAGGTCAGAATCAGTGTAGTGTTTTTGCCTCCCAGCCCGGCAAGGTTAAGAAATGTGACATTTTCACATGACTTGGAGGGGATTTTTTTTTCTTCCTTCCGGATGGGATTACTTCATTGAAGGAGAGCCCCTGAATCCCAGTGGTTCTTAAATAACACACTGTGAATGGAATTGGGGGGTGGGGGCAAAGGGAGGGGGTTTGAGAGGAACAGTGATGAATAACAATTAGTTTCTTTTTGCCTTTGGAGGGGAGAGACTGATACATCAAAATAAGCATCAAATAGACATTGATGAAAATGTTTAAATATAATGTCAAATAAATTAATTAGTGTAGAACAAAATCTCTCTAGAAGAAAAATCCCATATCCCTAAATTTTACATCCTTCTAAGCTTTACACTTAATTAAATCAGGGGCTTTTTATTTATTCTCACACAGATGGCTAACGTCACCTCAACAATTCATTCCCGCGTAAATTTACCACACAAAAAGGAACAGTCATTTCTCAAAGTACACAAATACCGGTTACCATGGAAACCAGTTGGTGCCTGCTGCTCCTGATTTTGTTTTCAGAGCAGAATCTTAACCACAGGACATTCCAGCTGTGACTCATTGGGACTACTGGCCAGCATGCAGCTCAGTCCTGCGAAGGGTACCAGCTTCCCTGCTTTTAGAAAGCTTCAAGATTTACTCCTTCTGAACAGTATTTGAGGTTGGACTTGTGTCCATAGAAAGAAAACTTGTAGAAATTAAGAAGTAAAAGATTGACATTCTTACTGTGAATATGAAGGTCAAATTTGTACAACTGTGTTTAAAGGTTTGGGTTGGTTTGGGTTTTTTTTAATACTTAAAATGCTGCTCATGTTTTCAAGTTGCCATTTAATGTATCTTCACACGTGGATCTGTGTATGTACAAAACCTCCTGTGTAGAATCTTATCAGCTGTTCTCTTAAGGAGAAAATTCATTTAGGATTTTTGTGTTTTAGATCTTCCACCCTCCACGCCAGCCTGAAATATCTCAACCACTCTTAAGACACTCAAAGAGGAAGGAAATCTCTTGCCTAAGCCACATTTACCAACTTCTATCTACTTCCTTTGCGTGGGTTTGATGATTTGGTGCTTGTATGGCTGATGAGACCATTAGAGATTTCAGACTATGGTTGCAACATAAAATGATCTGTGGACTCCAAAATAGTATGGACTCATGCATACAAATGGAAGACAGAAAACCAAAGACTCACCACTGACAGAGTGAGATTTTTGTAAGATTAAGGTTTCTGTAGGTACTTTATGAATCACTAGAACTCAAGCCTGATGGAATGTCAGCTAGTGTCACCTGCTCCCTCAGTGTGAATCAACCTTATGAACTGTAAGATGCTCAGAACAGGAATGTAGTTTTGAAGCACCGCTTTGTTGCTAAAGTCTTTGATGATTTTGAAAATTTGTGATCTTAATGAATGAAATTATAACTAACTCCTATCTCAGCTTGGGATGTATAGACAGACTTCTATTCTAAACTCATTTTAGAATGACAGTGAATAACAATGAAAACTCAACACTTTCTATCATAAAAGTGAAGCGAAGTGTTAGTTGCTCAGTCACGTTCGACTCTTTGTGACCCCATGGACTGTAGCCTGCCAGGCTCCTCTGTCCATGGGATGCTCCAGGCAAGAATACTGGAGTGGGTTGCCATTCCCTTCTTCAGGGGATCTTCCCAACCCAGGGATCAAACCTGGGTCTCCTGCATTACAGGGAGATTCTTTACCACTGAGCTACCAAGGAAGCCCTCTCTATTACAGACTGGCAGCTAGTTCATACTTTTCTAAGTACTGTTTTCCTTATTTGCTTGAAATTTTTCTGGAAGAAAAAAATTTTTAGAATGGAGCATTAATTTTAAGAATAATTAAATATAGCTCATATAAAGAAATTAAATCAAGAGCTTCTTTGGGAAGATATCATTAAAATATGCAAACATTTCTGGAAAAAAAATTTGGTCCATTTTCTATTACAAATCTTTAAAAACTCCAAAAAAACTTTATCCTTTAGAGTTTAGCATGTAGTTAAAATAATTCATCTGCTATGAGGGAGAATTCTAGGTGTAGTAGAGAGTTCCTAATATTTTTAGAGGAGAAAACTTCTGGTCAATGTAAAGAAGATAGTTAAATTTCTGAGAACTACACTCAGTGAGTTCATAGAGTGGCTTTTGAAAGTCAAGGTCACTAGTAGAAGATCGTATTTCAGTTGAGAGCAGGACAGTGATTGTACTGCAGGAACACATCAGAGTACACAATAAAGGACAGAAACGGTATGGCCCTAGAGGAAGCAGAAGATATTAAGAAGAGATGGCCAGAATACACAGGGAAGCCTGGCGTGTTGCAGTCCATGGGGTTGCAAAGAGTCACACATGACTGAGCGACTGAACTGAGCTGAATATGGTCAGTGTTGGGCTCGAGACTCAAAGTCTAGTCTAGC